GCCGCCCATGTGTTCTTGAAAAACATTGCTGTACTCGAGCTCCGTCATCTCGGATCTGCAAAACAGGGAAAAACAGAGCTGGCACAAAATCCGTCGCCGCATGCAGACGAAAAACCGAACGGATGTAGCACCGGAGTTTAGAACAAAGCAAAAAAAGAAAAGATTTATCAAAAAAAGAAAAGTTTTTGACGTTTATGAGGAAAATGGGGGAGGGGTGGAATGAGCACTCAAATTTTAAAGAAAATTGGAAACAGGACTGACAAAAAGAACTAATCTCACCCCCCCCCTGACTTGAAGAAAACTAGCCTATGGTTAGGACGAGGGTTACCCAATCAGCTTCGGAGATGCGAGGCCTCATTTCCCACCACTGGATAGAGAAGTAGTAGTGGTCTCAAGTGTCATGTGCCGAAGGATATTTTACTATCTCGTAAGTCTGTGTTTCATCTCTTAGCTGTAAACACAGAAAAAAAAAGAAGAAATCGCTTATCATAAAGAGAAAGAAGAGGAAAATCTCACTAAAAACGCTAAACTGAACACCAAATCACTGTGTGATAGATTGGATTACTTGGAATGTCTGTAACTCATGATGTACTTGCTTCAACACTGCAACTAGTAACAATCTTTCTAACTGCAACAACAAAGACTATTTGTGCAAAAAACCGAGGAAATGAGGAAAACCGTTAAAAAATGGGAAGCATCGCCCCACATTTTCGGAGACCCCTTTACCTGAAAAGAAAAACATCTGCCCTCCGAAAGCCTTAGGTAATCTCATTGATCCAGAAAAGCATAGAGAAAAAATATTAGAGGATTGTAACGGGGAGGAACAGACTAAATGGCTTTTAAAACACCGAAACCCGTGAAATCCGTCATAACCCCTTTGCCCTCGCCCCCTCCCCGCTCCCGAAATACCAAAAAACCACAGAACACAAACATTAACCCGAGGAGTCTAGAAAGAATTACTAAAACTCGGCTCGACTCAGCCACCATTGACGGTCCTTGGCTTCTCTACAAAACACTATTTCATGGTGCCGTTTGCTAACGCTGCTTGGCACGTTACCAAGGAGTGCTGGATAGCGCTACCCGGCGTTCAATGACTGCATGATGCTCGGCCGGTGATGGGCAGATGAGTTGGACGTGGTTGGGAGTGGTTATTGGTGGGTGCCCAGATGCCGCTCTGGAGGCAGGATTTGGGAACAGGCAAGAGGAAGGCAAAAGTATCAGCAAAGAGTTCGAGGCAGCAAGTAAAGCAAAGCCAACTTGAACTTATGAAAAAATGAATAGCGACGCGCTCCAGGCAGCCGGTGCAACCATGCGTTCTGTGCAGTCCCACCCAGCAGACGTTTGCCTGCTAAGGATTTTCACTGCTTTGCACTTTGGACTGTGCAAAAATAGCTGAAATGTTTTCTGGTTCCTAAGCTGTGGAATTTCCAACTGAGAATTTCACGCATCGGCACGTGAGAGCTGTATTTGAAACTTCGGAGAGTGAATATCCTTACAAAATTTCACTTTTCTAATCTTCTGATTTTCGAGTGATTTTTGCAACAGAACTTCCAAGTGGTTGTACGTGAGACATAGGCATAGTTGGGAATTGAATTTGAGTTCGTAAAGTTCCTCTGCTTAAGCATTTCCGGAAGAAACTCGGAGCATAATCCGTGGCAGAGATGAGCCATGAAGCACACGGAATAATTCATATGCATGATGTGTACAAAATGTACTAAAAATCAACGCACTGCTAACTGAGATTAGTGCTTACGTAATTTCAACAGTAATAGCCGTACTGGAGCAATCTTCGGCCGTCGAGCAGTATTAGCTGTGGTTTCAGCAATCAGTATTTAAAGGCGCTTTTCCCTCACTGCAAATTGTCCTCCGTGATCTATCGCCATCCTCCTGGTTTTTCAGTTTTTTAAACACTGATGTAGCGAAACACCTTGCGAGGACATCTGTTTGTTTGTTTTGTATGTGTCGCCACCAACACTGGTTTTTCCCGACAAATGCTTCGAGCTAAACAAATTAAGACAGGCCGGGCCGCCAGAACTGTCAGGAAACACCCCTTTAAAATTTCAGCTTTCTAGCTTTCTTGGCTTCTGAGTTAGCAACTTACTCGAAAAAAAAAACTTTCATGGGCGCGTACGTGGGTACCACGCATACCCGAGGGCTGGTTGTGGACTCATCAATACACACTTGGACGAGGAACACTCCCTTAAAACTCCAGCCTTCTAGCTTTTCAGGCATCCGAGTTAGCAATTTACCCGGAAAAGATTTTGCTGGGCCCATACGTGGATACCACGCGTACCCGGAGACTGGTTTGAAGTTCGTTAAGACTTACGTGGAAGGGGAACATCCTGTGAAATTTCAGCTTGCTAGCTTTTCAGGTTCCCGAGTTAACAACTCACCCGGAAAAAATTTTGGCGGGCCTATTCGTGGGTACCGCGAGGGTAAGAGCGTCCACTTCGGAGATGGGGACCCATATACGCATGTAGATTGAGTTATCCAAGTTTCAGTCCCGTGGCTTTTGTGGGTCTCGAGATGAAAAATCGGTACAGACGCAGCGCACACAATACAGACACACACGCAAACACACAGACACACACGCACACACACACATAGATAACTTCTTGTCAATATGCATTTTCTGCATTGCATAGCTGCAAAAAACGCATAAACTGACGAAATCTGTATGTACGGAAAGCTTTTGCTGTATCCTAGCTATACTTGGAGGATTTTCGAAGGGAACCAGACAGGCACTTTTTACATCCCACTAATATCAGAAAAATACCAGTTTTTTTTCTTGCTTTTTACAAATAAAACAAAAAAATAATTTTACTGTTTCTGCATGACTAAAAATCATCAAAGTTTCACCAATGAGCGGTTGCTTTTGGCAAAGTCTCATTATACAGGCAAACTCCGAGTGTCTTCGTCCCTCGTAGAAAGAATGGAAGATGAGGAGCCTGACGAAATGCGATCACTCAGACCATTTCTAAGTGATTTTGTCCCTCATAGAAAGAACAGAATCAAGAGAGCTTCTCCGGTAAATACAACTGTTCCTGACAAAATGCTTTACCGAACAGTATTTTTGTCCCACACACACCGAGTAAAATATGAAAGATTATGATCTGGCATAGTTAAAATGTTACAGATTGCAATAAAAATTTCAAGAAAATTGAAACAGATTAAGGAAAATTTTAAAAAATCAGATTCGTACTGTGTATTTCAAAACTGCTCTGGTATTCAAATTATGCAACACTGTATAGACCAATAATGAAGGTTCATACTCCACAACCCTAAATCATCAATAATACAAGACGTATATTCGAAGAAATTCACAAGTGTTTTTCGACGTTTCAGGTTATTCTGCCATTAGCTTGCTTCTAAGCAACCCTCGAAAGCTACCGGGAAATCTCGCAAAAAGCCAACGCATATTTGGTAATCATAAAGCAGTAGTTTAGCACTTCGTGTCCAAGGAAGATAAGCGATTCGATTCCCTCGATTCACATCAACTTGCAAAAGGGCTTCATTCGTGAGAATATCAAACAGGCTACTTCCGACTGCCTCCATTTTTCATACAGAATGAACACCAGGGGAGTTTCTACTTTTAACTTTGAAACCAATTTATACCTATGATATAAAATGAAAAAAAAAAACAAGTAATTCCCTAGAATTAGAAGGCACATATGGTGTGATTCGTTTGGTTCTTGA